AGATAGATAGATAGATAGATAGATAGATAGATAGATAGATAGATAGATAGATAGATAGATAGAGGGGGGAGAGAGAGTGGGAGAGAGAGAGATGTAGTATTGTCCATCTATGAAATGTTCCTAGCAAAAGGAATGCACATATTTGTATACATACTTATTTTTAAACGTTTTGTTAATACTGCTTTCTCCAATTTAGCTTTTGAACAGCAGCCAATGCCTGAGTCATTTTTCTATCTGCAACCTTGATAATATCAAAATTATTCTGATAATTGGAATGCTAAGAAAAAAAACTGATTTACTGATAGACTATTTATATTATATGGCATAGATATTATCTCAGAAAGAAGTTTGGCAATGGACACATTCATTAAGAAAGACTAACATCATTCTATAAGTGTGACTTCTCATTATTTCCTAGGCTTCTTCCCATTCTGCCAAATACCATTGCTTTCTAATTGTGGGAATCTCTCAGATTATCTAGCAGCGAAACATGAAAGCTACACAGAATAATGCTTCAGCTAAATCAATCTGCTGGAAGAACCAAAATCTTTTTAAGAATCCAATCTAGAAAAAGTTCTGAAAATAGTGACTGATTTGGTTTACATAATAAAAATAAATCATACAAATCTGAAGTAATTAAGTCCAAGGCCAGCACCAAAAGGTCAAAAATCAATAAGCTCTGGTTATAGCAGTGAATTTATTCCAGTGAAATTTTAATGGTTTTGATTTTTTATTTCCTGTAAGTAATTTGCAAACATTATACAGTTGTTCTGTTGGTCCGGTTATTAGATCTACGGATGTTTTTAAAGTCTTTTTTTTTACGGTTTCTTTGGTCCAAATTTCTAATGCGGTCATTCACCCAGGAAGCGTCATGTGGCACACATACTTTGACTCCTCTTTTGGTAATTAAACTGCAAGAAAATAAGAATTAAGACAAAAGAATGTTGAAGTAATATTCCAAAGTCCATGCCAGAACTAGAATGTGATGGAAGGTAATATTATTGGAAGCCAATAGGGTGAAAAGTTCTGATTTTAGCTTCTGCTGTTGATCATATATTCATTGTTCCGTGACTTGATATTAAATAATACATATGAATCAACTACATTTCATAGTATTTCACATTTATTCAAACATTTTAAAAATCAATTTACGAATCTGTTTGGGATACTTCATACTTCTATTGTGAAGGGTTTACTTAAAACCTTAAAATCTTATGTGATAATAAATTTATTCATCTTTAAAATGCCATAAAATAATATCTTGGTTTTATTGAAAAAATAAATGCAAATTAAAAGAATCCAAGACTTCAAATATGTTNGAACCAGTAGTGGAAATTTTGAATAGTTTGGAGAACTGGTAAATGCTACCTCTGACTGGCTCTGCCCCATCTATTCTCTGCCTCCTGAGTCCCAGCTGATCGGGAGGAAATGGCGATTTTGTAGTAACCTTCCCCTGGAGTGGGGTGGGAATGGAGATTTTACAGTACCTTTCCCCTGCCATGCCCACCAAGCCATGCCACACCCACCAGGCCACGCCCACAGCACCGGTAGTAAAAAAAAAAAATTGTTTCTCACTCTGGATAGTTCCCAAATTGAATACCACAGAAAGTTCTTTTTAAGCCATAGATTGTTTTCCCATATTTTCATTCCTGACTGCCGTGAAGATTATCATCAAAACTGAACAGATATCTAATACAGCAAAAGTCTGAGATTTAAAATTATTTTGACAAGCTAGAAACCTGGGTCAAAATCAACAAAAAAAAGTCATCCATATTTATTTCTGTTTAATAATCTATTTAATAATGACAGAATAGATGTTTAACTACAGTATCTACTACAAACTTTTATTGCTTTAAAAGCAAGGGTAGCATAGTAAGACCACACTGACAGTCTTTCTTTATGACTCACTTATCTCTGTGCCACAGTACACATTATCCATCCTGCTTCTTTGAATCTCAAATATTCATTTCAAATCAAGGTTGATTCAGGCAGGGCAAGTCTAGTTTTTATAATCATTCATGTCCATTAGTTTAACAATGAAGCAAGGATACTGTGTTTTATTTTCTTTAGTGTATGAAACAAACCCGCTTTTCTTGAAGGAATTTGAGGAAATACATATGTACATAGCAATGCACTGTGATACTTTTAATATGTTCTGAGCACTGATCCTCTTGTCCTTGCTAAGGAAGTGACTACATGCCCTCTGGTGGTCATAGCAATTACGTTGCTCTCAAATTTTAATTGAAGCATGCTTGATCATCCTTCGAAAAATATTGTGGTTTGTTAAATATGGCTCTCTGTGCATCTGAACTACAGAAAATAAAAGTGTGTTAACGCTGAAGGAGTTCTGGCTTTTTCGACCACTTTGTGTTCCCCATAATATGAATAGATGCTCAGGGCTCTTTCTTCTCAGCTAGATCAACTGCCTAGCTTTATCAATTTTATCAGTGAAATCCCAGCAACATGGTAAATATATTTCAGGGTAAAATTAGCAGCCGTTTATGTGATTACCTTTAAATGGATCATCAAACAAAGGATACCAAATTGTCACCAGAAACATGAATTGGCAAAGGAATTATGGGTTAAAACCAAGGACATTTTCAGTCTTTTGTAAAGGACTCAGAAAAATGCAAAGTTCAGTTACTGCAGTGAAGCATCACTAATGTGCTCAAGAGCTTATGTATTAATTACACATATACGTGTACACACACACAAAAGATCAAGCAAAGTACATGCGCTAGTTATGAGTATGAGTAAGAAAACCAGTTCTGAATCATCAATGTTCAGCTTCTTGTATAATGGTTTTATGTAAGAAACTTCTTGCACTCCTGTGGTAAGGGAATATCAAGTTCTTTAGTGACAAAGGTTAATTTTTAATTTTTAAAAGGAGAGACTCTGGGGTTCAAGCATTCCTGAAATGTGACATTTGTCCTAGAATCCCTGCCCTTCATTTCAGAAATATATAGGTCAAAATAGCATGTTTAGAATGGGCGGAAAATCCAACATGCTTTTTTCACAATTGGGCATGTAGGCACCATGGTTATCTTTCTGTTATTCCCTTTGTTAGTGTTTTTCTCCCTCCTATTCTTTTCTTCACTGCTTCATCTTAGTTAATTATTAGGAAACATATAGGTCCGATGATACCCCAATGTCAAATATCCAATCAGATTTCTTTACTAGTATTATTTTCAATCAGGTTTTAATCTGAATGTGTGAGAAAACACTACTATTATCAAGAGTTAGGTGTCAGTACAAGTTACTGGAGAGCAATGGAGAAAAGAAGAGGATTGTATCTTGCTTGCAGGTTGGCCAACTATTAACTTGTCATACTACAAGATATTGGTATGATCCATTAAAGCTTCACTTACCCTATGTTCTTGTAAGATACAAGAGTCTGATTCAGCAGACTGAGCCTCCTATCATAACTATAGTGTTTTACTCAGAAAGCTAAAGATTAACATACAATGTTAATCCTTTCACATATGGTGACAATCATAGGTATAACATCAAAGTATAAAAATATATACAATTGACAAACATTCCAAATAAAAATTCCATATTAATCTATACAAAATTGGCTTAATTGGCTTAATTTGATATTTCACAGTTCACCAATTAGACTTAGACACATTCTTCCTGGGTTAAAAAGAATCCACATATTCATGTGAATATATTCCTTATACAAAATTGGCCTCTAGGAATGGCTTCTCTGCTGTAGCGCAGTCTCCTTACTTGCTGGAAGCCATAACTGTGTTGGCAGTGGAGTTTGCCATATTAATAGTGGAGAACTTGACAGAAAAAATAATTTATAACATGTAATAAAAGTGGTAAGATGTAGCTACTTCTGTATTCTAATTGTCTTCGCAGAAAGCCACCCAGTGATCTTGTTTATCCAGACTTTCCTGAGGAAAGAAGACACGTTCATTTAGAAAACTACTCTAGGCATCTGTCAATTAAAGTTGTTCCCTGAGATCGCAGGTCCATTAGAAGAGACTAGGAAGCAGTCTAGTATAGCTAACTGAGGAGAATTTAAACCTATTTACCCCAAGGAAGCAGACAAGGTCCTTGGTCCTGTGATAATTTCCACCTGGGTTTGTACATGTCTCTCCTTTTAAGTTAAGGACTCCCAAGATATAGCAAGTAGTTGGATCCAGGTAGGGTTATATACATGTTTGAAAAATAAAGGTAAAGGTTCCCCTCACATATATATGCTAGTCGTTCCTGACTCTTGGGAGCGGTGCTCATTTCCATTTCAAAGCAGAAGAGCCAGCGCTCTCCGAAGACATCTCTGGCATGGGTGACTAGGGAAACAGTTCATGGGCATGACCAGCCTGCCATCCCTACCATTTCAGCGACTGAATCCCAGTTTCCACTACTGGTTCACCTGAACTTGTGCGAACTGAAAGCAACCCACCTCTGGTATGCCAGCATCCTTTCCTTTCAGCAATGCTACACTCTGATATAGTCATTCCGGTGTGATTATAAAGACCTTTCACAAGATGACTGAGTGCTGCATAGTTCCAAAGGTGGTTATCTTGTAAGGCTTCCAGAAATGTCATCAACTCCCCCCCCATCACACACACATTGTTCCTAAACAGCCCTTTCTGATCTGGTGTCCTGGTGGATTAGTCATCAACTGCTACACCCTAACAATAATAAGTAAAGGTTCCCTTCGCACATATGTGCTAGTCATTCCCAACTCTAGGGGGCAGTGCTCACCTCCATTTCAAAGCCGAAGAGTGAGCGCTGTCCAAAGATGTCTCTGTGGTCATGTGGCTGGCATGACTAAATGCTGAAGATGCATAGAATGCTGTTACCTTTCCATCAAAGGTGGTCCCTATTTTTCTACTTGCATTTTTACATGGTTTCGAACTGCTATGTTGGCAAAAGCTGGAACAAGTAACAGGAGCTCAATCCATTAAGTGGCGTTAGAGATTCCAGCCGCCGAACTGCCGACCTTTCTGATTGACAAGCTCAGTGTCTGTTTGAAAAATAGTTGGCCAACCTGCAAGCTTGTTTGAAAAATAGAGTGGCCCTTATAGTTCTTTAAAATGCAGTAGTTTCCATATCCCTCAAAGTCATCTCTGGATCCAATTGTATGGGGCATTGTTTTGTTGTTGTTCTCAAATCTTGCCATTAAAAAAAACGTTGTTGAGAATGTGATTGGGTTACAGCTTCAGAAGAGTCTGGAAAAATGAATTATTTGCATCCCTTTCCATCAGATTTCTGATTGGGACATAGTATTGAGATAGCATTGATCATAGAGGTAAGTGAGTTTTGGAAGGACTAAGATAGGAATATTGTATCCATTCTAGCTCTCCTTGATCTCTCAATGGCTTTCAATATAATCAGTCATATGGTGCTTTTGGAACAGCTTCAGGTCACTGTGGGAGATACAATTTTCAATGGTCCTGCTCCTTCCTTTAGAGCTAATTCCACTTGGTGTAGTTGAGAGTAAATTACTGTATTTCTACTTCACCATCTACATGAAGCCACTTACAGTAGTAAGGTCATCCTTCACACAGGGCCAGATATGAACAATACATTGATGATATCCAGAAAGAGAGAGAGAGAGAGAGATCTACATAGGCCAAGCAAATGTTACTATCAAAGCTCTTTCCCAGTGTCTGGTAGCTGTGGAGTCTGAATAGAAAGAACCAGCTTTCGCTCAGTCTATACAAGACCAAGAGACCATCTGTTTTGAGCTTTCTCCATTCAGGATATCCCCCACTCTCATTCTGAATACAGTTTCACTCCCCCAGATAAGACTTGTATGAAAGATCCTCTTGGATTCTTTCTTCTCAGTTGAGAAGTAGACTGCTGTTGTGATCAGAAATAAACTTTTCACAAACCCATCCTGTGTACCAACCGTCCTGTTCTTGAATGAGGAAATTCTGTTCAGCGTTACTAA